GATACCTATTAGATTTAATTCAGAGCAATGTGTTTCCTTTATGATGGTTTTGCTACCTGTAATCTGTGCTTCATGCAAACGAGTATCGGAAAGGGAAAAAATGTTTTAATTGAGTTTGTGAGGGTAGTTAGGACTATCAATATTTTCCATACTTTTAGTCTAGATTTAATCGATTGAGTTACAACTGATGTTTCTTCTATCGATAGGGAATGGTTGGCTCTTAATTTTATTTTTTTTATTTTTAATTTTTTATCAGTCTTAGTTTTTGCGTTTGAGATGAAGCAAAGACAGTGATGAGCATTTGCCGACAATTTTAAAGATTTATAAATAGTTTTTAGAATTTTTTGACTTTATTCAAGCAATCATAGCATTGAAATCTCATGGTTTTATGTACTTCCTTTAAAACATTTGTGTTTAAGTGGCTGAATAAGACGAATTTTTCCGGAAGGCTGAAACCAGAGTGTCTAAAGATGTAGGTAAAACTGAAGCTTCGACTTGAAATATTTTAAACATACGCGTCTCTATATCTCTAGGGGTGTGCAGCTGTCTGCATTTGTGTTTATTACTTATGTGGAAATTAATTATTTTGTGATGTGTATTTAGTTTAGAAGTTCTGTTAATGTTTTTTGTTTGAGCCAGCCTTTCATTTAATAAAGTTTGCATCATCCCTTTCATGGCACACAACATGCTTAAGGTTAGAATCTGAAGAATTTGTCTCTGTGCATCATAACTAATGGTATTGAAAGTTGAAACAAAACATGCTATGTGACAATTTGTTTTAAATTTTGTCATGAGAGGGAAAGCCCCCGTTAATACTGTAGCTCAGTTGCAGTGGGTTGTTTCTCATTACCAGATCAGTAGATAGTTCATTAAGTAGTTTGCTGAGAAGTAAAAATGGGGGGACATTCTGGAATAAATTGAGTGCCAATAAAAAAGGGCTGGGGAGGGTGATTCAGTGATTCATTCAGAAAATGGAGAATTGCGAGGGAGAGAGTCGAGCCTCTCAAATGCTCGACAATAACTTGTAATCTCTCTCAACTTGTTTTGTACTTAATTGCTGTTTTCATTTCAGTACAATATAGAAAAACACAATACAAGTTCAATTCTATTATGCAAATTGTTTCGTGCCAGTACAGGTTTACAAATCCAAATTATCGCTATCTGATCTGCACTTTTGACCTCTCGCAGCTGTTTCCATTGCCATCAGTACCTGTCAACACCATAGTTATAAAAATCGCACCGGACCGGGCGATTCAGCCCGAGAACTGGTGAACCGAACAATGATCCAGTTCGGTTAGCAATAATTGGTCCATTTACAAATGAACCGGTCAAGAACTGCTCAAATCTGTTCATTACTGCCTTAAACCAGTGATTTTCAAAGAAAACCGGAACCGGTTCATATTGAACCGATTTTTTTATCAAATTGGTCCATACTCGAGCAATATTGCGTAAGGAGATATTTGAACCTCCACTTCCTTGCATGAAAGGTTGGAACAATGACCATTATGGCAC